TAGGGAGCCTCATTATGTTACTGTGTCAGTGTGGGGCTATTTTGAGCCATGTTAGCGGTGTTAACTAGCGATTTCTTTCTACTTAGTAAATGCCCCCAGTACTAGCATTATACGCTAAACAGTTTTTAGAGATAAAACTCTTTACATTCGATTATCATGAAAACAAATCTCAGAGAACGGTTGACTAGGTACCGATATTTTATTAGACCAAAGGTTCATTTTGCGCCGGAGTGGCGAATCTCCTGTAACGGAGAATTATCTGAATCTGAAAATGGGCTTCTTTCAGATCGAGAGATATAAACCAGTCCCTCGGCGCACCTGCGCGAGAAGTTATCTGATTGTTAGCATTTTGAATGGTCATTTAACAGCACTTGTTTGAATATCTCAGATCTAAGATGGGTCTGAGGCCACCGTCTTTCTTTGGTACAAGAAAATAGCGGCTGTAAATCCCCGACTCGGCTTCCCGGCCGAGGTTTCCCCGGCTTAACACCTATTCTGATACCCCTGGGATAGCCGCAGAGCAGCCTATGCTCGCTACTGTAGATAGCCCACTCTAGGTCTGGCAGTTGCTGCACGTTGACATTGACAAGGATAACTTTTTGGCTCCAATATCTTCTCGAGAAGATAAATCTTTCCCGTAGCGTGTGCTAACTTACGCAATACGCAAGTAAGAGAACATAATATCTGCAATAATGATCCAGTCATATACTTTTAAGTATTTTGCCTATTAAATTACAAACTGCGATTTTTTTGTTAGGCTGTGTATTTGTACACACGCACACATATAGATCGCAAAGTATTTTATTATATTATAGTAGATGTTAACCCATGATTGATTATTTTGGGACGGCTTTATAGGGACTTCCAGTATATTGTGTGCAGCCTGGTTTTGGACGTCCTCTACTGGTTTATTAGGAGCATTGAGCAATGCTTAATCTGTTAACACTGTAACTGTCAGTATAGCTGAGAATGTCAAAAAAAGCAAGTTTAAAGCATTCTGTCAGTGAAGATATGATGTTTGAAAGAACTAACACTGTGTACGTACACTGAAAGAACTACATGTGCTCTGATAATATTTCTAGAGTTTTCTCATATTCTCAATCCATTTTCTATATATGAAAAAGCACTTTGCCTGTTTTTGGAGGTCAAACTGAATTTGTGTATATTGTCCTTTAGTAAGTTTGAAGGTAAACATTGTTTATTTGCATCATCTGATTTGCATCTCAGGTCATTTGTTTTAAAAATTAACAAAAAGGACAATGTGTCCTTCGAAGTATTTAACCTTGTTATCTCATGATTTTAATTTTCACATACATGGGGGAGAGCGGGGCACAACCTAACACATTTTGGTTTTGGCTCAATTATTTAAAAAAAAATTAAGTTAGATTAAACACACAAGCAATACACATCTCTGCTACAAATGAACACTTAAAGTTTTTTTTCTAGGACCTACCAGTTTCGTACTGTTGCACAGAAAATGACAGAAGTGCAAATGTTACAACTTAGCCCTATGCAGGGTTAATTGTAACAGACAGAGGGGTTAGTTATGCATGAAACACATTCAGTACTATTTTATTTGTATAGTTTGAGTGCATCTGTATAGATAGATGTCCATACCTCCATCCCTCATCCAATCATCCTTCTATCATGGATCAATATCATGTATAGAGATATAGGAAAGGGCTACAGAGTTTTGCAATAAATAAAATCATCAAATATTGTAATTGCAATTGAATTAGATTTGTGTGTGGCAGCTGCAAGTAAAATTAATAATAATAATAACAGTAATAATAATAATACAAATGAGCTTAAAATTAAAAAAAATTAAAAAGGGTTTATTGCATTAAAAACAGGCCCTATTTTTAATAAATAAACAAGTGATTAATGCATACCAAACTAAATTTTAAAAAAATATCCAACATTGTTTGTGAAAATCCTACAAAGCTAAATATATAAATAAATACTCAAACCTGAAAAGTTGTGTGGCTCTCTGTTTCATTTGATTGTCACTGGCCTACACTTGGCTCGTTGACACTGTGCTACAACTAAAAATATGCAAAACATATTTTTAAGCCTATAGCTAACAGTTGCTAGTTGCTGACATGTTTCAAAACGCTGCTATGTTTTAGCTAACAAGACAGGCAATATAAAGTCAGATTTGGAAACGTAGCCTACACCCAACTCAGACACCGAAAAAGACCTATGATGAAAAAATGTACTTGCATGGTGTCACTCTTGTCCAGTATCACGAAATATTTCAAAACTTTTCACAAATCGCTGGAGACCGTCTTCTGGCAGCGAGAGAGCGGAAAAACGACTTGCTTGATCCGGAATAACTATGTAAGGTCCGAATATTAAAGTCCGCGTTAGGTTGTGTCCGCCATATCTATATAAAGGCTAGATAGATATCTATAAACAGCAGAGATGTAGTTATGATACTGCATAGATATGAATAATAAGTGTATAAATAAATAATCATCCAGCATTATAGCCACGTTAATAACGTTTGTAAGAAAACAAACCGTAAATCCGTCAAGATTTCAACGAGATAAGAGTATCACATAGCCCGCCAGAAAGCCTGTCTGTGAAAAGATGGCCGCCGGTGATGGCGATAAATACTCCGCCGTGAGACATCTAGCCTTTATCAAGTTCTTTGCTTTTATATAGATATGCTGTCCGCGCTCAGTGTCTGTTTTTTTCACAGAAAAAAGATTCACAAGACGTGTGTATATATAAACCAACATGCCTCTTAATGTTTTTCCTTAACTTTATTTTCTTGTGTGTGATAAAAGAGGAGCTAAAACACGATTTCAAGCCACCCCCAGTTCAACAATACAAAAGATAGAAAGTCTTTCAAAATGCTCTGTTCATAATAAGAAAACCAACAGAATGAAAAACTGAAAGGGCTGAAGAAGAGATTTTTAAAGTGCACTAAAAATTAGAGAGACAAAAGGAGTTCCAGTGGCCTGCTTTTGAATAAAAAAAAACATGGCACTCAACTTTGTTTGTCAGAATACCTGGAAAACAAGGAAAATAATACATTTGGCTTTGTGGTAAAAAAGCCAAATATATTATTTCTTTGTTGTCAATGGCTATTGTAAATGTGGGTTATATTAGGCCTACATAACATTCCTCAACATTGTATTGAGCAGTATCACTGTAGAAATGTAGTAAATCCACCTTTCAATCTTCTTTGAAAATTAATTCCAGCACAGCGCTACAACAACCATAATAAAATAATGTTTAAAACTGCCATATGTAGGCTAGCTCTCTGACAGAGTTAGAACAGTTTATCTCCTCAATAAAATACTCACTCGCCTGTGGAGTAATATAAAGCGATGCACTTACAGCATTTCAAATCCCCCATCTCCGAAAAGAAAGCCAATGTTGAATCTCGTTTTATTGAGAGTTAGGTCGCGTTCTCTTTTTGTCAGCAGAATAAATAAAAAAAAAAGATTTCCCTGAGGATCATGAACCTTCTTTCAACCTTTCTCACTCGATGTGAAACTAACATCTACCACTCCCACACCAGACCCAGAGCAACTTCTCTCTATTTACAAATATGACAAGGATGCATGTATGCAAAAAACAAAACAAAAAAAACACACACATCCCAAAAACATAAAACAAAAACATGTTTTGGAAGGATTGATGATATATTGACTTAAATTGTATTCATTTTTAACCAAAAAATGTACACAGTGTACTTTCAACTAAAACTAACAGTACTATTTCATTAACTCAAATAGAGCTGCAATACAATTACCCAAATGATAAAAATAAATAAAATATTATAATAATTAATAATAAAAATAATATAATAATTATATATATATATATAATATATTCCAAAAAAAAAATGACCAAGCTCACAAAGCTCACAACTAAAATTAAAATTACAACTGAAAATATTATATAAAAGCTAAGGTAAAAAGCACTGGTAATTCAAATCTAGCAGCATTTGACTGAGATTTTCACATTAGCGATTCATGCACAATTTATTGATACCAGAGATTTTGTATTTATTAGCACTGGCCGATATTGGATATCCAATCCCTTATTCATACATTTACAGTAAATTTCCCTATTGGACACTAAAATTCTTGAAGCTTAAAAAAACATGAATAATTTAATAGCGCAGTTGAAAGTGAACTTTCGCAAACCTCAAAATAAATCAATATTTCATACTGTAAATTATATATTTTAATGCACATTAAACTGTATATAATGTACAAATATATGTTTGCTCATTTGAATGCCTTTTACCTGTTTCTAAGGTCAATCTGAATTTGTTTCTTTCAGTTAGTTTGAAAGTTAAACCATATTTATTTGCATCTTCTGATTTGCATCACAGGTCATTAAAAAAAAGAAAAGAAAAAAGACATATTTTCAATTCCAGCTATTCCACAAATGGTGTGTCAGTATTTTTTTTTTTAAATCAAAAACAGAATCACAAAGTGGGGACAAACAAACATGTTGTAACATTAAAGCGTTCCTTAATACAATACATGATAAAAAATAGAGCTAAATCATGATGATGAGTGACCACATGCAGTCTCTTTAAAAACATGTAAAGACACAGGTATCTAAAGTCATCTAAAGTCAAGGTAAGGAACTACAGTGAGCCATCAGAAATACGGTCTGGGGGAAATAAAAAACAACTAAATAGACCTGAAAAGCATGCATAGACAGTTCTACAATAGTTCAATATGTTACTTTAGAATGACGGAGGGGTCATTTCCACATCCTCCACACATAAATTATACTGAATTTTACTCCTAGATTTGTTTGTGAGAATGGTACTTAAAGATGTGTCTGATACTGTAACAGCATGGACCCTGTACTTACTGTCTGTGAAATTTATTTTTGCATTATTTCACATCAATTCATTTCATTTTCATTTAAAGACAGACTTAAAAATAAATAATAAAAAAAACACCATCTCCAGAGTTGCAGAGCAACTCAAAGGAAGAAGCTATAAGTCAAGAGGAGGAGTCTTACAAATAGAGCTTGACTTTTGATTGGTCAAGGCTGTCCGTGTCTTACTGGTCTATAAGTAAGAAATCTTCATTAATTCAGACTTGCAATCATCACTTTGGGCATTTCTGCAGCTGGCACAACACTGGACGTCTTGACAATATGGCAATGAAAGCTACAGTCACTGTGTTTGTGTTTTTGAGTCTCTTCGGATTGAACAGCAGCTTCTACAGAAAACATTATTATGTGTTTGAGAGTATGGAGTGGTCAAGAGCACGGGAATACTGCCAAACTCACCATGATGACCTGTCCACCGCTAGCTATGAAGAACTGCAACAACTTTCTGATAATTCACAGCTCACTGATTATTACTGGATTGGACTTAGAGATGCTACCTACTCAGAACTGTGGAAATGGACTGGAGGCGAGGATGCAACTGATGTCAGGTGGGACAATAACGAACCAGATAATTGGTATGAACAATGTGGTTGCGTCAAAAAGTCCTCTTCTAAAGTTCATGACTTTCATTGCTCTCGGAAATTACCATTTTACTGTATGGAGGTCTTTGAGCTGATCGTGGTGCAGCAGAAGAACACCTGGGAAGAGGCTCTGGAATACTGCAGACAAAACTACATTGATCTTGCCAGTTTAAGCTCAGATGTGATTATGAAGGAGGCAGAAGATAAGAGCACACCAGCCCTGACAGATGATGTATGGATTGGTCTGCGCTTCATCGCTGGTCACTGGTTCTGGCTAAATGGAGAAGATCTGGGCTATAAGGTCTGGTCTGCGGCTGGAGAGCTCCAGTGTCCTGCCATGGATCAGCGCTGTGGGGTTTATGATGTAATGAATAAGGTTTGGAAACCCGCAGACTGTGAGAAGAGACTCAACTTTCTCTGCGTCAAGACTGTTGGCTAACATTGGCACATTTACAGAAATGTTGATTAATATGATTAATGAAATTATTCATGGTTGGTTAATTCAATTTAAAATGAAACTATTTTCGAAGCATATTTTAATAGTCAATATAGATGTTGGTTAACTGCCGTGCATTGCGATAATAATAACGATAAAGTCTAGTCTTTCATTTGAAACTAAATGTTGTTAGCTGCATCCTAAAGTTTTTTGGTACGTTATAAGCAACACACATTCAAATCTGCTGTAACTTTTTTGCACAAATGATCTTTCCGTCTGAATACTCATTTATTTTTCTTTTTACATATTTTGCTTTCTTAAACTATTAAACAAAACTCTCAAAGATGTTGTAATCGATGTTTTATTCCACACAAACCTATTGGTATAGCTTTATTACATCCAGTGTCTGTAAAACAAAGTAGCCAATCAGACACGGCCTCTGAACAGCAGGTGAGTCATATTGATCGGTTGGGACATGTAGTGATGAAGAAAGCTGTGCCCTGGCTTAAAGTGTGTCATGTAATGTTTTGTTTAACCCTTGTTCATCAATTTAAAAAAGTTACACATAGGTAAAAAGAGGACAAAAATGTCCATGTCAAAAAACTGTCATAAAAACGTGACGCTTTGGAGCACAGACTTAAGTTTGGTATCATTTTAAAGAAGACCCTTTGCAGATTATTGCTGAAGTAAAAAAATAATAATAAGTAAATCCAAAAAAAAGTTATATAGGTATAAGTTTATGAAAATTATTTATAAAAAATATTTTATATAAAATATATTTTTTTTTTAAATCAGGTTGAACTGCAATAAAATCAAAGCCATAAATCTAAATAGGTTGTGTTCCAAATTTGAGGATGATATCTCAAAAAATGAGCATTCGGTAACAGTTTGTTTGGGCGTAGCAACATATTTTCCCCATTGGGTCCCAGCAAAACCCCAGTGGAGCTCACAGTGATTGGATTTGAATTTGCAGTTTTTCTCTCTCAGTATTATAAACACACACATGCGCACACACACACATATTTTTTTATAACACACATACTAACCACACTCTGACATCCATACCAACACACCCACACAAATATTGTTGCATTTTTTTGTCCAGTTGGCTCTGTAGTATGCCGAAGCAGAAAACAGGAATAAAGCGATATTTGTTTTATTGGCCAAACTTTAAAAAAAAAAATGGCAACATCTGATAAAAAAATAAAAAATAAAATTTTTAAGCCTTGCCGTCAGAATGAAAGCCTCTTAACAAAGATTGCATAATTTTATAGTTAACTGAACCGGGGATTAAAAATGGCAGTTTTAATGGGTTTCAATGGGGACATTTTTGTCCAAAAGGCACTGAGAGGGAGTATTTTTTGTACCTAATGCAAAAAAAAAAAATTTTTTAAGAAAATGACAGTGAAATAGTAAAATATCAATAAAAAATACACACCTGTGCCAAGTTTTTTGCAGTTAGCTTTAACACAGTCAAAGAAGAAACAAAACTGATCACAGATCAAAAAAAAAAAAAACTGAAAAGGACAAAAATGTCCATAAGGATGCACAAGGGTTAAGCAATAAAAAAAATATTTTAAAAAAATTAAGAAAGCGGTGAGGTATTCAGTGGCTATATTGGTTAAGAATACATTTAAACGCTAAACATTTGACTGACAGTATTTCAGCATAGGATACTCAATGTGTGCGTCCATTAATCTCTGTAGATTCGTGAATAAATCATCAAAATTATCTGAATCAGTTCACTCACACTTTCATTTAGTAGTTTCTGAATTACTGTTTATGTTCAACCAAAAATGAAACATTAAATTTACTCACCCTCTGTCATTTCAGACGCTTAACTCTTTTCTGCAGAACACAACGCGCTGGGCTATGCACGCGGCGGTATTTCCGGTGACGGCCTAAATGCTCCATAACTTCCGCCGATCGTAGAGTCCAATACCAAAAGCGTTTCTCTGGCAATACCCAGAATATTATGTTTGTGTATTATGTATTATTGAATTTAATACTCCATGGGTATAATAAAGAAATTTTAGTCACAAAACAGACCGTTGTGTTTCCTTTTTAAAATAAAATAAACATAACTATATAAAATTACATCTAGCCTAAACGTATGAAAGTTTCGTTTCAAATACTGGAGTACAGTAAATTTTGAAGACTCTGATTTTGAGACCTTGATCAGAAAGTTACCTCTACGACCGGATCTTTTAATCACGTTTTGAAACCTGATTCGTGAATGAATCATTCAAGGCTGCTCGAATACGACCACTTCTCTTAAAATAAAGGTTAATTATTGATGGTTCCATATAATTCTAACACCCCATGGAACATTTCAATTCCAAAAAAGTTTAACCATCCTCTAAATTGCATGTAACCTGCTTTGAACCAAATCTAGTGCACACAAATGCATCTGTCTGTGAGGCCCTTGGCTTTTTATGAGATTTTCTCACAATGCAGTTGATCTTCCTCTTCTAAATCAGAAGATGGCGCTCAGATATGGCGATTCATTTAGCTCGAGTCTCCCGGGAGAAGCACTCATTTGAAACGCGTTTGCCTTTGCAGCTGAGGAAAATGAGCGCTGAACAGGCGAGTTTCGTCTTACTGAATCTGTAAACATTTTTGAGGTTTTCTCTTTTTTTTTTTTTTTTTTTTTTGCAGAATGTGATTTACAAGGCATGTGCGTTTCTGGTTGAAACCGTCCCCACTCCCAATTACATCAAAAGACACATAAACAAAGAGGTTGATAAATACAAGCGATGTTTTAACGTAGGACTGCTTTGAAAGAATCTTGCAGCGTTTTGAATCATGTTTCTGCTGGAGAGTTTTGTGTCACATGTAGAAAAACATGCACAGAAACCAAATCCTGATTTTACATGGAAGCATTTTACCATGGCACCTGTTTCTGAGGGAAATCTGAATTTGCATAATTATTTTGTCCTTAAATTTAAAGGTTAAACTTTTTTTCTCTCTCATGTCATGTTTTAAAAGGCCAGCGTTTCAATGTCACCCTTACCTGTCACTTAAAGTAGTTCCTAGCCTCCATTGACTTTCATGATATCATTCATTTATTTATTTTCATACTATGGAAGTCAGTGGGGACCAACAACTTTTTAGTAACCCGCACTCTTCAAAATATATAACATATTTTCATCTCATAACGATTTAGAACAATTTGAGGCTGAGGAAATTTTGATAGAATTGCCTTTGACAGAACTATGCCTTTAATAAAGATTTAAAAAGCTTGAGAATATCAGTGAAATGCAACATTTTTATATGAACAGACATGGGAAATGTCTCCCTTTGTACAGACTTCATGCCCCAGATCCCCATTTTCACTGATCTAGAGGAAGCTGCCATTCATACTGACAGGAAACCACACAGTTTTTTTTGTTGTGAAATTCAAAAAATGGGTCAAATCAGGCCCAAACACAACACACGTAACATTTTAAATTCACCATGAATTCAAAATGGACGATTCTTCGTTTTTAACAGAATTTTGCAGTGTTTATTTTTATACATGATTTATTCTTTGATCATTATTATTATATGTAATTCTCTTTCTCTTGTAATCTTCAATCCAAAACATTAAATTCCCATCACAAAACAACAACAGTCCAATCAATTCCTGATGGATTAAGCCCCGCCCAACATTTTGTCAAATGCATTGCAACAATAACAGTAATGTATTTTTTTAGTTATTTTAAATAAATGTACTGAATTGATAGTAATTACTGGGTTGATTTGTACTGAAAATGTCAAGAATGGATTTTAGATCGAGTGTTGCAAAACACATGAAGATTACAATGCGAAAGCCACAGAGTTCATTTCCACTTCCTCACACATTTGTAAGGCAAATAACAACCTTGTTTTTGTCCTTCGAAAAATATCTTTTCCAGTGGTGTGTGTGTGAAACATTTACATTTAGGCTATTCATTTAGCAGATGCTTATCCAAAGCGACTTACAAACGAGGAATATATCAAGCGATTCATCTCAAACACGAGAAGTGCGAATAGTTTCAGAAAGTCCCAATGGGGAATGGACAAAAGGGGAGGAGCTAATCCTTTAATTGGTCAGGGCTGCTTTTTTTATTGGGTTGTTATGTAGGAAATCTCCGGGAAGGTGTGGTAGCAAATAAAAGTGCAATTGAAAACTTTCCAGCATTACAACACTGGATACATTGCCAATATGGTCACTGTGTTTGTGTTTTTGTGCTTCCTTAGATTGAACACCAGCCTCTACGGAAGACAGTATGACGTGGCCGAAAGCACAGCAGTACTGCAGAAGGAACTATGATGATCTGTCAGCCGCCAGCAATGAAGTACTGAAATGACTTTTTGCTAATCCAGAGGTCACTGGTGATTATTTCTGCATTGGACTTCAGAGGGATGTCCTCATCCCAACACTGTGGAGATGGATCATGGACCGGAGGCGAGAATGCAACTGATATCATGTGGGAAGCTGGACAACCCAATACTTTGCATGAAAAATGTGCCTCCGTCTTAAAATCAAATGCTAAATTGCATGATAATCCTTGCTATTTATTGATGCTATTTTATTGTATGGAGGACTTTGAGCTGATCGTGGTGCAGCTCTGGAATACTGCAGACAAAACTACATTGATCTTGCCAGTTTAAGCTCAGATGTGATTATGAAGGAGGCAGAAGATAAGAGCACACCAGCCCTGACAGATGATGTTTGGATTGGTCTGCGCTTCATCGCTGGTCACTGGTTCTGGCTAAATGGAAATAATGTTGCATAATGTTGTAAAGATAAATTTTCTAGGATCTAGATTATGTTGATACATTACACTCATTCATACTTGCTAGACTGTAACTTTTCAGCATAAATTACAAGTAATTATATCTTGAAATAAAGAAACCCGTTTCATTTCACTCGTCTTACTCTTGAGTTTGAAGAAAACTACATTTTTTATTTTTTATGACGTCTGAAAGTGTGCTTGCATTACAAGTTAATCATATAATAAAAAAAAGCACTTTATTTCGATATTTGTAAATACAAGTACTTACGTTAAAGGAGTAGCTCACTTAAAAACAAAAGGTTTTTGATGAAAACATTCCAGGATTTTTCTCCATATAATGGACTTCAATGGGAACCAAACGGTTCAAGGTCCAAAAGACAGTTTCAGTGCAGCTTCAAACCCCACAAAGTTTAAGTTTTAGAAACTCAAATGGTTGTTTTGCTCTGTTCTGTGATGCGTGTTTGTGACTCTCCTGTTTGAACTCATTCATCAAAATGAACGAATCTTTTCCCCGAGTTGATTCGTTCATTGAATGAACCAAATTGAGTTTGAACAGGAGTCACAAACGTGCATCACAGAACAGAGCATGGTGACCATTTGAGCGTATAAAAGTTGAACTTTTTTTTTTTTAAATGAGCGTATCATTTTTTTTTTTTTATCATTTCACTTGATAAGACCCTTATTCATCATCTGAAATCGTTTAAAGCCCTTTGAACAGTTTGCAGTTTGCACTGAAACTGTCTTTTGGACCTTGAACCGTTTGGTTCCCAGTGAAGTCCATTATATGGAGAACATGTTTTCATCAAAAACCTTAATTTCTTTTCGACTGAAGAAAGAAAGACGTGGACATCTTGGATGAAAGGGGGTTGAGTAAATTATCAGCAGATTGTCCACTTGAGACATTCTACTAACCAACTAGAAGTCATTTTGCGCCTGTGTCAACTAACTCTCATTACAGAGTGGGTTAAAGGCTTCAAGTAAAAAGCATCAAAATAAATTGCTAGCAGATATGAGGCAGAGTAATACTCTAATAACGACTGCTAGCTGGCGTGTAGTTATTTCTAGTTAGTAGTATGTCTGTCTAAAGGGGACATCAAAATAGAGTTACTTTCTCGTAATGCAAGCACATTTCCAGTAGTCAAGCTAAAAACAACAACAACAGGAAATGTTAAAAAATAAAATAAAAGGCACTGTTATCAGAGTAGTATTTTTTATTTCATTATATTGATCATAAAAATTGTAAGCATTAGTAATCACAAACAGAAAAAAAAAATCACAATTTTTGGAAGTCTTTAAACTCTTATAATAAATTCTTACACACTCATGATTAAGCCTATATTGTAACTCTTACAAAAAATTGTGAAAATCAAAGGTGTTATTTTTGTTACACACACAGTTGTTCTCTATATGCCATGAAAGGAAAACATCGCCTCAGAGCAAAACAATATAAAGTTTCGCTCTTAAACCAATGGAAAGAAAAGGCCCACACATATACAATCAAACACGGCTCTGTTTCCATCTCTCGTACCTGTGGTCATAGACAGATGCACATGTTGTTAGACCACTCATGAACTCTTTAAAACAGGAAATGACTCGGACTCTGTGGGGTTGGTGGCATGTTGCTATAGAAGCCAGGGCAGGAAGTTAGCCTCGAGAAAAGTGACACGCAGTGTGGTATACTTGTTAGAAGCTCAAAATGTAGTTTAAAGGCCCAATAGAAAGATAAATTCATCAAACAAATATTATTTAAATTATTAAACAAGTAGACATTTTGCATTCTGTTTGATTATTTGCTAAGATGTGATTACCCTGTATACTACATAATGTTGTTCTTGTGAGAATGTTGAAAGCTTATCTACAGGTGCGACACGCTTAAGATGACAGCGGGATTGAGTCCGGAAACTTCCTTCCCACTTTTGATTAAAGTCTTATTTTTTTCCTTTCTTCATTTTGATGGTCTCGTATGTGTCCTGATCATGAGGCTTGAGACCCTGTGGTGTGGAGGAGAGAGAGGGACAAAACGGATGTGGCAGAGAGTGAGCGCCATTTCAATAGAAGCTTATACCAGATCAACCACAGGCTTTAGAAATGTATGCGTCAGTTAAATGCTATACCAAAAAAACTGCATGCTTTAATTATTATCTCCTTAAAAGAGTTAGGGGTGAGCGGGGAACAAACTAACAAGGGGCGAGTTGTAACACACATGGTTTAAAACTTTCCACACATGCCAGCATAACGAAACTTAGTGTATTTACTAGATGCCTTATCAACACTCAATATAGAGAAAGAAAAATGCACCAAAATTAAAAATTCTTTGGAAGATATCACTGAACATTTATTTAACCACCATAGCAAAAGTACATTTATCAAGAAACATTTTCATCTCTGTTTTTTGTTTACTTAAAATGAGAGAAATCTGATATAATTTCTCTAATTTTAATCACTGCTTTCAATCTTTTATCTGTTATTTAACAGTTGGGTTAATTGAAATGGAACGATTGAATTAATACAATGAATGAGGATGATTTAATCATCAGAAACTCAAAATATTATGTTATCTGAACCACATTAATTATTTAAGTTGATTTGAGAAAAGAAACAATGTTGTGATTACAAATCATGAAAATATTTTTTTGAGAAACCAAAGATTAATAGAGAAATTATTAAAGAAATTGTTATTTATTATTATGCTATGTTTTTATTATAACTATGTTTTGCGTGTTTGTTGTCAAATTCAAATATTTTTTTATATTTTAATATTTTTAAATCATTAAAAAAATGTAATTTTATATGAAAAAGTTAATAATTGCGTTTTAATTTGCCTTGTATATATATTTTTTTATTAGATCAGATAACATTTCAAGCTGTCACATGGTCATGTTACAACGTGCCTCACGTATTTCACTTCCATTCTTTTGGGGTACATCACGAAAAAAAAAAAAAAGCATACACTATATTAACGAAAATTAGTATGGGGAAACAATTTTACCGAATTTTCAGAATTGTCAGCAAGCTGACTAGATAGTGTAGTGAATATTGTCAATGAATTGGATGCTAAATATCATTTTAGCTTTAAATGGACAGTTTACTCAAAAATTTTAATTTTGTCATGATGTACTCACCCTCAAGTTGTCACAAACCGGTTTGAGTTTCTTTCTTCTGCTGAAATAATGTTGGTAATCAAACTGTTTCTGGACTCCATTGACTTCCAAAGTAGGTAAAAAAAAAAAAATACTATAGAAGTCAATGGGTGTCGTTGCTGACATTCTTTAAAATATTTTCTTTTGTGTTCAACTGAAGAAAGAAACTCAGGTTTGGAGCAACATGTTGATGAATAGCAAATTTGGGTGAACAATCCCTTTAATAAGAGTTCCCAAATAAATAAGCAAGAATAAACCCAGTCATGATTCTTGTCCGTTTCGACAACAAAGCACTTGTTGTAATTAAGCTACGACTTCATTAGTCGGAAGTAGGACATTTCCGATAGCACGTGAAGGCTGCTCAAACTTACCGGGTGAAGCGACTGAAGACGCTACTAGGCCTTAGTTTTACAAATAAATGATATGTACAACTCAAAAGTAAATATGAACATCATGTATGCATTTTAATACGTTTTGATTTTTTATTTAGTAAATAAATAAATAAATCCAGTCAAACGTAGGCTATTAACAGACAGAATTTGGCGGAAAACAGCCCAACAGTCTTATAGCAAAGGGTGAGTAAGTGTTCATTTCCTCATTAAAAGCCTACTTTAAAGTATTTAATATCTGTTTATTGCTAAATTTAGCGCAGCCTTTGTACATTATTTACATTAGTCATCGTGCGATGTATCTGGTTGCTAACAACTTCAAACGCGGAATAGTAACGTCACTTCAGTATTATTACTATTTATGGAGATACACACGGAGTGTGAATATGTAAGTTAGGTAAAATAACCAACACTACTGGCTCGGTCTGCAGAATAGACATACACTCGAGGAAGGTTAATTTTACTGCTACACGAAATATTAAAACAACCACAACACAAAAAGAATACCTCATAAACGCCTTCGCCGGCATCTTTCTTCTGTAAATGAACGGAAAGAATAAAAACATTAGAAAGGCTGTGACAAAGATGAAATATGGGGCTTCAAAGTGTTTTCAAAGCTCAATGACAGCCACATATAAGGTCTAATGAAGTTTAAACAATGTTCTTTTGTTGAATTATAATAACCTTTCTGAAAAGGATGTATGCTTGATCTGTGTGTGTTGTGTGAAAGGTTGCATGCTGAAAAGCAGCAATTTTTAGAAAGGCCTTCACACACTGTTCATGACAGGATGCTAAAGTGTGATGTGGGTGGAGAGGGACAGTTAGCAAAAGCAGATTATTTTAAAGATTTAAACACAAGATAGAGTCTTCAGACACTCAAACTGGATAAAAACACTGCTGTTTTAGTCAGGGTAGGGTTAATTTAAGGATAGTAATAGTTAACCTGCATAAATGTAATTTGTCGGACTCAGAATGTACTGGCCATCGTTACAGCCGTGTCTTAAGTTCACATTATGTCACATTGATTCATTCTAGCAGTTTTATAAATGTTTTTCTATATTTTATAATCCTTTTACTGAAGGAGGAGAATATGTGTAAACATATTGTTGTCGTGTGTGTGTCTAGCCTATATATGTGTGATATATACTGTATACTATGTACAGTATATATATAGTAGTCAACATTTGACATTTGAATTGGATCAAAAAAGTTCAAAGTTGTCTTAAGAAAAGAATGCGTAATAACTTTGCTGAAAGGTTTTGATCCACTTCAAATGTAGACTGTATGTACATATGCAGATTATACAGTATGTACACAGTACACACATATATACAACATATATATACACACACACACACATATATGAAGAGTTCAGATGCAAAAGCCTCTAAATGCCATTTAAAATTTTCTTCTAAAATGACCATTTTTATCAAGCTTGTATATTTAAGTTCAGTAATTTCACTTAAATGACAATTAATAGGTAATCTTCATTGCCATTTAAGTGAAATTACTGAACTTAAATATACAAGCTTGATAAAAATGATCATTTTAGAAGAAAATTTCTTATTTATATATATATAGCACATACTGTGTAATAAATTAGCATGGATGGACAGATAGTCTTACCCCTGAAAGTTGTTCGGCTTGTCTACTTCGCATCTGCGGATGGATGGATGGATGGTTGATTGGATGGATGGATGAAATATATTAGATAGATATTAGTTGTTTGTATTAAAATTATAAGATAAAGCTAAGATAATGTCAGGTTCATTAGTTAACTACATTAATTAGCATGAACTAATAATGAACTGGACTGATACAGCATTTCTGTCGGGACCACTATCGTCAAATACCATTGTCCACTAGCATACAGTTAGGATTGTCGGTATGGTTCTGTTCTGGGCGAAAACACCCTGCGCATGGATAAGAAAGAGCACAATAACCCCCCTTAGGGGGAACAGAGCAGAACCAACATGAATGTATGCAGATATCATTAATTCAAGATATTAAAGCTCAACATAATTTGAGAATTTATTCTGATTGAAGGGGAAATAATGGCAAATCCTTACTGGGCGAGAGGAGGAGCTGGGGATGGAGGAGGGTAATACGCTCCTGAGAAACACGATAGCTGCTGATAATACTGAAGAGCTTATATATTTATACAGTGATAGCGGCATATTCCTATAGGTAGACTCACCTAAAGGATTATTAGGAACACCATACTAATACTGTGTTTGACCCGCTTTCACCTTCAGAAGTGCCTTAATTCTACGTGGCATTGATTCAACAAGGTGCTGAAAGCATTCTTTAGAAATGTTGCCCCATATTGATAGGATAGATGGAGACTTGTGGGATGCACATCCAGGGCACGAAGCTCCCGTTCCACCACATCCCAAAGACGCTCTATTGGGTTGAGATCTGGTGTCTGCGGGGGCCATTTTAGTACAGTGAACTCATTGTCATGTTCAAGAAACCAATTTGAAATGATTCAAGCTTTGTGACATGGTGCATTATCCTGCTGGAAGTAGCCATCAGAGGATGGGGACATGGTGGCCATAAAGGGATGGACATGGTCAGAAACAATGCTCAGGTAGGCCGTGGCATTTAAACGATGCCCAATTGGCACTAAGGGGCCTAAAGTGTGCCAAGAAAACATCCCCCACACCATTACACCACCACCACCAGCCTGCACAGTGGTAACAAGGCTTGATGGATCCATTTCATTCTGTTTACGCCAAATTCTGACTCTACCATCTGAAATCGAGACTCATCAGACCAGGCAACATTTTCCCAGTCTTCAACTGTACAATTTTGGTGAGCTCTTGCGAATTGTAGCCTCTAATTCCTAATTATAGTGGAGATGAGTGGTACCCGGTGGGGTCTTCTGCTGTTGTAGCCCATCCGCCTCAAGGTTGTGCGTGTTGTGGCTTCACAAATGCTTTGCTGCATACCTCGGTTGTAACGAGTGGTTATTTCAGTCAAAGTTGCTCTTCTATCAGCTTGAATCAGTCGACCCATTCTCCTCGGACCTCTAGCATCAACAAGGCATTTTCGCCCATTTTTTTTCCTTTTCACACCATTCTTTGTAAACCCTAGAAATGGTTGTGCGTGAAAATCCCAGTAACTGAGCAGATTGTGAAACACCAACCATGCCACGCTCAAAATTGCTTAAATCACCTTTCTTTCCCATTCTGACATTCAGTTTGGAGTTCAGGAGATTGTCTTGACCAGGACCACACCCCTAAATGCATTGAAGCAACTGCCATGTGATTGGTTGATTAGATAATTGCATTAATGAGAAATTGAACAGGTGTTCCTAATAATCCTTTTAAGTGTATATTTATACAGTGATAGCGGCGTATTCCTAATTCCTATAGGTAGACGTGGATCAGCTGATGTGAGCTTGACTAACGTGACCTGCCAGAACTGACGCTTCACTTCATTGATTAATCTTAGTTCATTTAACATTTACAAATACATTATTAAAATCTTGTTAACGTTAGTTAATTCACTATGAACACACAATGAATGACTGTATTTTTTTATTAACTAACGTTTAATAAAGATTAACAATTGCAGTAACAAATGTATTGCTCATGGTGATTTCATGATGTTAACTAATGAACCTTATTGTAAAGTATCACCAATTATTCAATTTATTCAAATCATTCAATCTTGATTTCCCATGCAAAATACAAAAGATTAAAAAAACACTTAAGCTTTTTGTAAGTACATGAAAATTCACCTCCAACTTTGACAGTCTCAATGTTTAAAGGATTGAACACTTAATGATGCCACGATTATGAGTCTCAATGTTTAATGGCTGAACACTTAATAATGCCATGATTATGAGTTTCAGAGTTTAAACTGTAAAAGAGTTTGATCACATGTACAGTACCTTCATTCTGCAGTACAGGACAGTGAGAACAACCCCATAGACGAACAAAACTGCGTCCAAGATGTAGCATATCTGCGGCGCGCCCATACCCACTGCATCTAAAAAGATGAAAATAGTAAGGAAAAGAAAAATCGCAATAAATCCTGCTTCAGATAATGACAGTTATTAACAGTGATATGATTTTTTGTTATTATATAAAACGTCCCGAGTCAGTTTTATAGGTCACAGCTTCACATATAAACTCGGTTACACTTTATTTTAAGGTGTGTTGCACTGCACGCACATTTAAGTGATACGCAAGAGTGATATTAATTAATTCATATGTACTAATTATTAATTAACTACATGTACTTATAGGGTTTATGCATCATTTATAGTTGATACTATTAACTACATGTGTAACATGTATTTGAATACATGATC